AGGCCGACCCCCCCCGGCTCCCCCCTCCTGTCAGGCAGTTGTAGGGGGCGATGAGGGCTCCCCTCAGCCTCCTCTGCTCCAGGCTGAACACCCCCCGCTCCCCCAGCCGCTCCTCGTAAGCCTTGTCCTCCAACTTGTGCAGTTTTGAAAGCGCATTTGCTATTGCAAGGCACTTTTTTTTTTTTTTTCCCCCCCAAACCACTTAATATTTCTAACCAACAGTTACAAGTGAGAAAGATACCTGGCAAGGGTTTTCTACACATGGCCCCCACCCCCCAAACAACACCGTCCTCTTCAGCGGACTTTTCCTAGCTCTGCTCCCAGCGAGCGCCTGCAGCTGCTGGGCTGCTCTACTCTTGCCCGACATGCTCTGCCTATGCCCACCTTGAGAACAGAGTGGTCTATTCCTGGGAACACGGGAAGTCTCTGAGCTTGTACGGAAGACGATCTCGCAGTATGCTGTATCTTGTCTTCCTCATCAGAATCTTCCTGTTGCATAGTTTTCTTCTCTTCTAATTAATTGTTTAAAAAGAAAAAAAAAGCAGAGGGGGGGAAAAAAAACCAAAACCATTAGTCAGCAGGCTTTCCATCTACACCTTGTTCTAGATCTCCCCTTCTGTTCAAAAATGTATTAATAATAATAATATTAACACACCACAGGACTGGGTTCAATGCTTCAACAGAGATCAAAGCAACAGACACACAAAGTACTCAGCAACAGAAAGATTTCTTGCCGACAGAGACGAGGGAGCAGAAGGTACTCCTCATTTAATGAATGTTGCTGCTTCTAAACATCTCACGTTCTGTGATCAACTGAGATTAATTTAGATTAAAAGAGACGCCTGAAAGTTATCTGGTCCACCCCCTGCTCAAAGCAGGGCTTTGAAGCAAAGAGGTTGAGTAGCAGAAGTCTGCACGCTACCGGGAAAGACGCAATGGTAACGTTGGCTTTACGTGCACTGGGTCTTTAGTTGATAATTAATGCTCCAGCTTCCAGTACAGCATTTCTTACCAAGGCAAGTCGTGATAAATGAAAATGTTTTAGGTCTGTTAGACCTGCCCCAAAGCAACCACCACCCAGATAACAGCCTCTCCATTGCTCAGGAGGCTACAGACGAGATCAGTCTCATCACACGTTCTCCCCTGTATTCACAGGCTTTCAGGGAAAGCAGAAACGGCAGGTCACAAAACCTGACTTTTTTAATAGGTCCCCTCAGTTACAAAAACATCGCCAGCCTCTCTGATGAGCAGGCTGCGACACCAGCGATTCCTCCGCTCAGGGAATACCGAAAGGGTATCTGCAGCATATATCACCCCCGTACCCAAGTGCTGTGGGTACTCAGTCATGACCTATAACACGTGCGTGCATTAAGCCATTCACTCACTTCCAGGAGCAGGGATTTTCAACGCCTGATGCGTTTCCTTAGTGCATCCTAAGGAACAGGCCAGGCCAGGAGGGGGACATTTATAATAGAATGGATTTGAAGGGGTTGATTTATCCTTAACTAGGCCTCTTTAGCCCTGTAGTACTTACAGATTCTAAAAAGAAAGAGTATTCATGAGCACCTATAGAATAGGAAGGACTAAGGCTGCTCTTATCAATAACACACAGGCTTAGATATAAAGAACGTGCTAGAGAACGCATCCAACCGTGGCAGCTTCTAAACTCAGTATTTTCTCAGCAAACCAAATTCTCTTAAGTCAGTAGCCAGAAGCTAAAGGAAATTCCAACAACGCTCTCCTGGTCTGGTTACTGCAGCTTCCCTCACACCACAGGCTCCAAGGAACAGCGGGGAAGACTTGATTTAGAGGATGACCCAGAGGCGGGAAAAGGAAGCTGTTGCTAAACCCTGATGCAACTTCGGGTATGTTACACCGTTCAGAAATTCCTGCCCTCACAAATCAAGTTGATTACGGCTAATTATTTCAGAGAGTTGAGGGGTACCTGTGGAATCTTTAAACATCCAGGCATTATCTTGTTCTTCTGTCAAAGAAAATCTGTTTTCAAACTCCAGCCCTCTGCTTCTTCTAAGGGAGTGGGAAACAGGAGCCCGACGGCGTCTCTTTTTGCTGAGCTGTACACGAGTTTTCAGCGCGCTGGAGTCCAGAATAGTGGTTTGCTATAAAGAGAAGCAAAGCCTTTACTTTCAATCAGCCAGAAAATAAGAGTCATCTCCTCCATAACAATTTCTCAACCTACTTTAACATATTAACCCATTCAGTTTAATTAAACTAGATATTTTTGCCTGATTATTATTCTTGTAGTTACTTAAAACTTTATTAAAGAGAATTTATGATGAGGATATGCTACATTGGGGCTAACTGGGTGCAATGCTGGTTCTTTCATCTCTCTTGGCGTGGATGTCTCATCTGCATGACTTATTTTCACTGAATTAAAAAAATAACTGAAATAAATAGGATTGTGGCTCCTAGAGTGTTTCAAGAACACAGGCCTTGCTAGCCAGTAACAGCTGAAGGCCAGTAGGAAGACTGGGATCTAAAAAGAGCAACTACACAAAACTCTCCTGTAGTAGAGGGCTGTAATTGCCTTGTTCTGACAGGTTGCCATCCACAGAAAGGTCAAGCCGCTCACCAGCAACAAGGAGACTGCAAATTAAGCGTCACGGCATTCAGAAAATGCCTGTGATCAGTCTTTTTAAACACCTCCATCCTTGCCTATGACGGTAGCAGAGTAACGTTCACAGAGCAAAAGGAGGAGTTGTAATTTATTTATTGATTTAAAGCAATTTGTTAGAGACTTGCAAACATCCGTGAGCCTCGCCTTCTTTGGAAGATGTGTTTTTATCTCAAGACATCTCAGGTCAGAAATAAACTACTTGTTAAAACAGCGTATTGCCAGCTGTACTTGAAGCTATCAATGTCTTGAAGAGACACCTTTAGCTGCCCAGGGAGCAGCACAGGACCACCTCCACTACCTGCAGAACCACTGACAGACAGACAAAACGCCATCTGCGCTGTTCTGGGCTACCAATGCTTCCTTTACAGAGCAAAAAGTGCACTTGGGCTATCGTGCTGAAGGAGTATTAAGCGATGCCAAGGCCAAGGCACACGCAGTTAGGGATCTCAAAGCGACAGACCACCAAACGTGGCCTCTGCTTCAGAGCCAGAGGGGGCTGGGGGATGAGAGCAGCACCTACTTTGGAAAACCACAGGTTTCTGCAGTTCCCCGTAGACGACAGCGAGTGGAGCGCAGAGCTGGCTGGAGGCGCTTTCGAACAGCCCACGCAGGAAGCAGCTGGGATTTTACCAGTCAGTTCTGCTGCACCAGACCAAACTGCCTCCAGCACAAACCTGCTTGCATCCCTCATACGTTTTACAGAGCAGCCTACTTCTCAGTTCAGAAGGCGTTACGGCACTTCGACAGGCAAGGCGGCAGATCTGAGGCCTTCCTAGCAGCTGCACGATCCACGCAAGTTGGGAATCTTGCGCTTGTCAATGTACCAGTCATTAGATATTATATAATAAACAAAAAAAAGGTGCACCAACTCTTACTGAAGAAAAAGCAGTCCTTCTGAGATGCTATACTAAAAAGTACAGTCATGTTAGGGCTTTCAAAGAACATGAAACCTCATCTAACCGTGTATGGTGGGAAATTACTGTTCTTATACAAGCTGCAAGATTCTTAAGTATGAAAAAATCCTTAAAATGCAACTGTAAGCTACTGCAGAAAGAGACCGATTGTAAATAAGAAAAATATTAGTGAATGTCTTTATAGCCTTCAATCTGCATGGCTGATAGCGCAGCAGTCACTACCTGTTTGTGTTAGTTAATAACTACGCTGCCAATGTTCATTTAACTCTTCTGAGGAGCAGAAAGAGAAACAGCAACTTCATTAAGCCACCGGCAGACGTTATCCGAGGCCAATAGCTTTTTGGAATCTCTCAGAACCCAAGTGTTACAGAAACTAGAAGAACTTTGTAGCTCTGATCTCAAAACTTTTTGGGCAGGAAGCCAGCTGGGAAAATTCAGTGTGATAAAGAAAAGGCAGGGGAAGATGGGATGCAAAGTGTGCAGAAGATGCTGCTCTGCGGTGACTAACACAGGCAACAACAGAGCTAGCGCGGAAGGAGAACTTCTGTTTCCCGTTACGGTAACTCACATCAATGAAAGAGAAATCAGTGGTCTTTTCATCAGGGTAGGTGTCTCCCGGAGGAGGTAAATCAGTCCCATCAGTAGAGTCCATGTCAGTGCTGGAACGGTCCAAACTTGTGCTCCTTTGGTCTTTTGAGATGTCATGGTGATCAACCAGGGAAGCAGGTTCCGTCTGAGAGGACAGCGAAGACGGGTGGCTGTTTGGAGGTTGCTTTCTTGTTGAAATGACATCGTTTTCCAAGGAAGGGGATTCAGGGACAAAGCTGCAAATTAAGAAAATGAAATCTATGAGACTTGAGGATAAACAACTATATGCAAGGATAGTTTGGATCACGTATGCTCAGAAGATGATAAATAAACGTTGAACTGAAACTATGGCTACAGGTAACAAAGGCGTCTTTGAAGGCCGCAGGTACCAGCAGCGAGGGTGTGGATCCCTTGCCTTATCACAGATTTTTACTCACGTGGATTTACAGCGTACTGAAAAATGCAAGTACGCAGATAAATTCTAATGATTTGACTGTAACATGCTTTTATTGCTTGGGGTTTCTCTTCCTCAGCACAAAGGCCCTTTCAAACGGCCACACGCAAACGAGACGAAGGCATCAGCAGGCTGCTGAAAAGCCCAAAGCGATTTTGCCCGTTTGCTGTGTGACGGCAGCAGACCTTGCACCTTGGCACTGCATGCATTTGAAAACATTGTGAAGGGTAATACCCCGTTTGCAGGCCTCAGGCAAAGAGTTACTGTTAAAGGTTTCTTCTCCTTGCTCATCCATAACTATCTTAGATACCTGTAAAAGCTTATAAATACAAAACGATAAATCTTTTACTGTGAGTTCGTTCCTGCAGAACACTACAAGCTACGTGCAGCCCTTTTGAGAACGCACCTTACAAACCCCTCTGTTGTCCACTTTTTTTAATATAGTCTTATATATTTTTATATATAGATACAGAAGTTGTATGCACACTTTCTGAAATCACAAGGCTGTGTATAGACGCCTGGACCCGAAGAATACGTGAGAGCATTGGGAACGGCCGTAGCCACCACGGCAGCTCCCCCAACGCACTTTGTGCTCCATGCATACCGAGCAGCACATGTGAGTAATTTCCATTTCACATCACTCCAAGGAAACTGAAGCATCTTCAGCAGCGCAGAGAATTTAAACATTTTTGGATGCAATTTTTAGATGCTCATAGAGATTGGATTTAAAAAAACTGCATCCCTTGTGTCCTGACAGAAAGAAACATCTCTGTAGGTACCATCCCGAGATCAACAGCTCCTCCACTTGAGCTGTATTAGATTTTATTTCCCTTATTGCCTCTAGTTTTGGTCCATAAGAGACAAGGAACACAACCAACAGTAACCCAGTGAACCGTAATTGCCAAGATGTGAAAGAGGAGAGAGGACACTGCTAGCTGAGGTGGACCAGACCCTAAGTTTAGGAGGTTTTAAGCAACAACGTGATCACGTAGAAGCGCTACGGGCTCATCAACTCACTCTTGCCACGCAGGCTGGCTGGCTTCACGCTGGGTGAGTTTCAAGCACACAAAAAGTGAACTGGCAGGGAAAGGGGCTGGAAATGGGCAAGAAGAGGGCTGGAAGTCACTGCAGAAAGCTCTGCAGGGGAGTGGCTGAGCCAGTGCACCTGGGCTGGGGACGGCAGCAGGGACAAACACCCTGTACTGCTCCACCATCTTCATTTGTGGCACAGAAACCAACCTGAGAGATGCTCCACAGCTGCAGAACTGGTCCTCTGAACCAACCACTTCCCTAAAGAGCTTCTCTTTCATTTCAGGATGTATTTCAGAGAGAGCTGCCCAGCCAGCGGTTTTTATCTTTTGAGGATGCTCAAGCATGCTGAAGGGAGAGGTGGGCAGCAGATGGCACCCTGCGGCAGGGCTCTGCCAGCAAAGGCTTCCTGGGGTGCCCGAGGAGAGCACCGAGGGCGGCAGGACCTGCACCCCAGCCGGGCCACGCTCCCACATATTTTTCCTAGAAGCTTTGCCTTTGCCTAGACTCACAGGAATGAGCCGTAGCGTCAGGACTGAAAGCTGGACACAGTTACCTGTCTCCCTTCGTCACGTAGGTCGGTGTATTCCTATAGGCAGCCGGAGACTGTAGGAAACACAGTAAAGACTCTACTGTCAGTAAAAATGGGTCTGTCTTGCTTCTCATTTTAGGATTTTCTAGTTTGAAAAGCAAACCCTGAAATATTTAAGGAGGGTTTTTTCCCCTCCCAAGTCTTCCGTTACTGAGCACCTTTTCTTGAGCAAGTATCTAGGAAAACTGTTCTAAAACCAAAAAAAAAAAAAAAATGAAATGTATGTATGAATATATGCACATTTTTTAAACAACAGACCTCAGTATTTGGTACAGTCCATGGCGACAGCAGTCTTGGGAGGCAAACACTCAGGAATCTACCCTTGAATAACAACTTCCTACCAAGATGCAGTACATGGTACAATTTCCAGCCTGGCAGAGCAAACACTGCACGGAGGGTTTCCAGCACACGAGTAGAGCGAAGGCCTCTTCCCTCCTTCAGCAGTGGGCCCCAGGATAATTGAGAAACGGTACTAATGAGCTCCAGAGGGAAGCTCTCATCTGGTATTTTTGCTTCGAATTATTTGGTATCTGCAGAGTTAGGCTTTAGATCCACTAGAACATGGAAGAATGTAGAGACCAAAGACAACCTGCAGACTTGCCACCGCCCATGGAAATGAAAATGTGTATTGAAAGGATCGGGTCCCATTCGCCTGTCTCCAGAAAGCCTCTTTGCTTTTACACCCTAGGGCTCCAGCTAACACCGCTCAGGGCAGTTTTTCAAACTGCAGTATTTGAGAGTGAGCAATGACGGAAATACAGATGAATTCACACTGATTTCTAATCGACAGACCTTTCTAATGGATTCTCCGTTGGAGTCCCTGCACAGTTACAGCATCGCTACACGCTGAACGCTGTGGCACAGCTGATCGCCCAGTGCAGCAGGGACAGCTCGAGTACAAATGCTGTTAGGCACAGCAGATTCTTTCCATCTGAACAACAAATTAGGGGGAAAATTCCCTTCAGAATAATGGCCAAATATTGAAATTTGAAACATGTTTTCAGCTCTCATTACTGAGATGCATTATGCATCTTTTTCCATTACTTCATTAAGATTTTGAGTTTTATGAGCATATCTGTAAGCTACCAGCACTGTTCCACGGGTGTCATTACAGACACTTGCTTCTCTTAAAAATTATGCGTCACGGTAGTGCACGCAAATACCAGCAGAATGGTCATCGCAAATATACAATAAGCTAAGATCAATCTTAAATTTAATTGCAATTAAAAGTGAATTAGCCTTAGCAAGACAGTGCTAAAAGGCCATAAAGAACGCGTTGCTTCATCGTGTGAAATTAGGAGTCAAAAAGTAAAGGAATCCTGCTTTTTATGGCAGCACTGCTGAGGAGCCAGAATCAAGAAATAATGGCCATTTCAAATGCCTTTTATATTCTGTAACCGCAGGTTCCCACCTGCTACGGGTAGCTGATACCCTACAGTGAGTTTTCTTTTCCAAAACTTTGTCGTAGTCTAGCTTCAAGGCTTTGAAGAAGCAAATAGCTAAAATCTTATCAAGTCAGAGCTGTACAGAGCCATCACCTAAAAAACACAGTCCCCTTTCGGTAAAAGAGGATTTTCATTACGAAAACTGATCTAAAAGCAAGACTTTCCTGCGATGTCAACTTGGAAAAGCTTACTAAAGCACTCGAGAAAAAAAATGAAAATAAAATCTTTTAGATAAGCTAAGAGAAATTCAATTAACTCCTCCAAATTAAACCATCTCCTTCTATTCTAAGAAGTGATTTGCCAAAGCCCACTGCAACCAGGCCAGAGCAGCCCCTTACGCTGGTTCTAGCGGTGACCAAGTTCTAGTTGAACACGATCCTTCCTCCACCTTCCCCAAAGCTTATCTAGAGAAGCACCGTGTTTATCCTGTTGCCACAAAGTCTTGGGTTTCTTATTTTAAAATTCTCTTCCTCTCTTAGAGAAAATGAGTTTGTTCACAGGTGCATTAATGAAACACTCCTAAAGGGGCTAAAGTAATCGTTTCAGGACTCAAATGCTGGAAGATGCCAGAAGCTGGCAGGTCGTCCCCCACACAGCAGCAGGCTGGTGCCGTTGGCTCGTCCCCCCTGCCGCGGCGTTCCCCGGTTGCTCCCCGGGCGCAGGTAAGGGCGTCACGGTGCCTGTTCCCCCGTTGCTCTCCCAGCCCTGGTTCAGCTCGTGGCCAAGCGCTGGCTGCGAGGGCGTACCAGGGTGCGTGAGGAATGCACCACCACGCGCCGTACGGCTGGCGAGATAAGAAATCTAAGGGAAGCAAGCCAGGCAAAACAGGAAAGCAGAGTTATCGAAGCCTCCTGTGAGTTCCTGCCTCTGGGCCGAGCAGAGGACGAGACGGCTGCCTCGGCAGCGGCCGAACACGGAGACGTGCTCGAATCACCCATGGCAAGAGGGGGAGAGTGCTTGCACTTGGCCCGATTTCTCCTTCATAAAAGATAAACTGCAAACAAAACGCAGTTTCAGTATATTCCAGGAAGATTTCCATTATAAATTTAGTATTTAAAAGTACATTACTCTCATTCCTCTCCAAGCGCCTGAATTAAAACATCAGTAATTGCCCCGCCATGAGCCATAAGTCAAGCTAAAGCAGAACAAGGGAGCGGCAAAATGCTGAAGAGTCACTGTACTGTCATCGTTACACTGTAAAAAAAGAAAAACCCTGAAGATTTGTTACAGTGGAAAGAAAATTCCAGGACATGGGGGGTTAAGAGTTCAATGCTTCAATAGGTGGAGCTTTTCTAGCCAGGAAGAATCCTCCAGGTTCGAAATAGCATTCAAGTGCTGTCTGCGTTGGAGGTGAGACAAGCACCTTTCTTAAGAAGCTGATTTCAGAACATGTCTCCAACATACTGAAATCAAAGTTAATTTTACAGAAGACATCACTGTTGGCACGTCGCTTAGCTCACTGAACTTCAAGCTGAAAACCATCCTGATTTCATAAGCAATGAAATATTTATAACATGCAGTTCTCAAGTGTAGAACACACCAAACATAATTGGCATTAATGTCTGCTGCAAGATCGCAACAAGTATAGCATTAAAAAAAAAAAAACAACAAACAAATAGATAAAATGCTATTTTCATACTACACTGAGCAGATAAGATACCGGGCTCAAACAGGGCAGATGAAGCTAGCATTTACACGGCAGGTGTAAATTCTAAAACCCTCATACTTTAATGCTCTGGGTTTATTTCCTTAAATCATTGCACTAACAGAAAAGCACCAGGAACGCTATTTTTCATCCAGCTGATATTCCATTTCACCCTCCCCTTCCCCACACTGAAACAGTGCAGAGTTCTCGAGTTTGGGGAAGAGTGACTGGAAAGCTGCCCGGAGGAAAAAGACCTGGGGGTGTTGGTCGACAGGCGGCTGAATATGAGCCAGCAGGGTGCCCAGGTGGCCAAGAGGGCCAACGGCATCCTGGCTTGTATCAGGAGTGGTGTGGCCAGCAGGAGCAGGGCAGGGACCGTGCCCCTGTGCTGGGCACTGGGGGGGCC